CAACTGGTATAATGATGTAATAGTATCTCACAGAGATACAAATTGAAGGTCAAGATATATGCGCACAATGAGAAAACAGATTTAGAAGTGTCTGTTGAGAGAAGCCAATTAGGCAGAAGTTGGTTTCAATTTTATAAGCGAATAATTTAAAATAATTAATTAGAAAAACAATTTTTAATTAATTTTTAAAAAGAATATTCTAATAATTAATTATTTTATTTTAATTACAATTTAAAATATGGTTACATACCAAATTAATTATAACAGATTTGAATTGGAATATAACCACAACTATTTATGAAAAACTTGAGGCATGGAGAGTTCTCTCTGAGATAGTGATTTCTCTTAGATTTAATAAATATTTAATTATTTATTTTTAATATTTTTAGTATAAAAAAGTATTTAAAAAAAATGTCATTAATTAAAAAAGCGCGACTTTATAAACAAGCACAGTCAGCTAGCTTACACCCAAAAGAAAATATTAATTAATTTAAAGGAATTAAAAAAAAAATCTTTTTGTTTAAATTTCAATTGTTAATGCAGCATACAATCAAATATGAGATAATGTGAATATTTTTAATTTTGAGGTCAGCAAATAAACTGTCGCTTGAGTTTTTTTTGTTTTTTTTTTATACAATAATTAAGATAATGTAGATAAAAATTTTGTTTTATGAAATAATATTCTTAAATGGTTATTAAATTTAAAAATATTAAAGCATATCAAACGTAAAAAAAATTCTATGAAAAAATATTACGTTACTCTTTAAAGATTTTTCTTAATATGACGTTGATAAATGGGTTTCTTATAAGTTCGTATCAGAGAAGATTATGAGGTGATGAAAATTTTATAAATTACAAACTTTATCAAATCGTATAAAATTTCTGGTTTTTGATTAATGATGACTTTAAATGTAATCATAGAATATGTAATATGTAGCAAACAAATAATCATGTTTTTAATAAATAAAGGAATAATTTGTGGGACACAATCTTGTCTCTGTATTTACTCTAATGGATACTAGACAAAAGTAATTGATAGTCTTTAATTTAAAATTGAACCAAATCACTGCTTATTAAAATATTAATATTTTTAATTATTTATATTTTTATATTAAATAAAATGTTTTGAAGTCAATAATGTCGAAAAGATATTTCTATGAATTGAAGAGTTTTTGAATGGTAGTGACTTACAACAAAATTTTGTTTTTTTATTAATTTAATTTATTGTCACATTTAAATAAAATTATTCTTTAAAAAATTATAAATAATTATTATAAAATTATTTTTTATTTTTTGAGTGAGTAAGTCTTAAACATGTTGAGAGTGAAACCTAACAATCATTGTTTTGTTTAATCCCAGACTGTAATTTTGTAGTTCATGTCAAACATGAGACGTTAAAATGATATTTGGGCCGATTCATTGTCTGGATCCTTGCAGATTCTATAAAAATCTGATTCTAATGAAATTGTCTTTGAGGTCTGAACCATTTTCTAAAACATAATCTTACAAATTTTTTTTTTGTCTAGTGGAAAAATTGAGCAAAAAATATTAGCAAATAATAGATAGACAATTGGATAAGCAAATCAATTCGAGCTGAGTATATATATTTCAAAATACAAAATGGAAAAGATTAACACTATATTCCTGTAGAAAAATTAGCGATCTCATTGAGATTTCTGGTAAATATAAAAATACAATGCGGTTATTAACTGAACACTATCCATTAAAACAATAAGGATTGAATATTTCCTTAATAGATTTTTAACTCAACTTTAAAAAAAAAAAACAAAAAAAAATTTGGTCACTGTTAAACTTATACGCAATGCAGTATAAATGTGAAAAATATTTACATTGTAAATATTAAAAAGAATCTTAAAGAAGTTCTTTGTTTCTAATAATCGCCCAAAAAGGTTTTAAAACTTTCGAGTTTTACATAATACTGTAATAATGGGTCACCAAAATAAACCATTCTAACCACGAATATGAGTTAACAGGTTGTTACTAGGTTCTAAGTAGAGTGAAGCCTTGCGGCTTTAGCAGATTTTTAATACTGTTAATCGAGATTAACTGAACAGAAGATATTCAGTTCTTCAAATATGTATCAACATATCGCTTATTGCAAATGTCTCATCTACCTCCAAACAGAACAAACATTCTGTCTAATCAGACAGACCCATCATGTTAAGATGATAATGTAGATTACGATAATTCATTAAGTAATCTGTTAACAGTCTATCAACTGTATTATATTAGAAAGCGACATACTCTTATGACCGTATCAGTTCTTTACCTTGGTGGTTGTACGGAGTTTATTTAAAACTCACTTATTTATTTAAATTATTTTACTCAACATCTTTCTTACGGCTTTATAAACTTAAAGCATCGTATAACTCCATTGAAATTGTTGAACGTAATAGTGTTTAACTTTCTTAGATTTCATTTATTTATAAACTCAAACGGAATTTTAAAATATTTTCTTACCTATTAAAAAAACTCGAAACTCTTTCGAAATAGTCTTCCATTTAATATTAGAGAAGTTTTAACTTTTTTTCCATTGAGTGTAAACTTCTATTTCAAGTTCTATAAACATGCATAAATAATTTGAACTATTTTCGAATTTAATTTGCTCCAAAGAAACGAGTTTATTGTAAAATTGAAAAAAACTTAATTCGGCGTTAATGAATATGCTCTAATACTGAAAAGTAAACTGCTCACAAATATAAATAAATTAAAAAAAATTAAATAATTATTTGCATAAATAAATATTTTAAAAAATGTTACCAGAAAGACAATGTAGAATTTTACTGGCTTTTTAGTGCTCATTAGTACCATAAATACGTGTAAAAATATCTTATAAGGCAAAGAAAGCCGTTAAAATTGTGGCTTATAAGTAATTAACTGCATTATGAAGTTGGTATGCAATATTTATGGCATCAGAGAAGACTTTAATTAGATATGCAGCTCAGGTTAGCGAAAACAATGAAAAATTTAAAAGAAAAAAAAATTATATTAAAGTTTTACAACATTTTCAA